TGCTGCACAGAGTAGTCCAGTTGTTAGTCATTTTTTGCACAGAGGAAAAGCTCCAGGTACAGTAAATCATTCTTGGCCTCTGCAAATACACAAGCACATATATTGTAAATTGTTTTAAAGTTCCTCAACTGTTTCCACCTATCGCTGCTTAGATAGGATCTTCTACATTTCACCCACAAAGTAAACTTTAAACAGGCTGACCCTCTGTTGTCCCATGAAATCTGATCTACCTATCACCATCAAGGGACATCTGGGATTCATCTTATCTTTTTCAGTGGATTGTTGATTAATGGAAATTGTTTTGAATGGGATTCAAACATGGCAAAACTCCATGAACCTTATGAATTACAATAGGGTAAGATAGAAGGTCAAGTAAAAAAAAAAAAGTATGTGGGGAAGAAAATTAAGCCATAATAATATGGGCCACATTACATGCCTAAGAAGTGAGGATGAAACTCTTATATATATTTTAAAATGGTTTTCATAGACGAAAAGGGTTTCTGATCACCAAGAAAATTATATATATTTTCATTGCAGTAGAGGAAATCTTGACTGACAGGATGAATAGGTATCCAGGCTCAGTGTTTCAGTAATATTTCAGGAGCCTTCATGAGCTAAAGGCCATAAAAGACCCACCTAGGACTCACAGAGTTAAAGGAGGAACAGTTGTTTCCTATTCACTGGAATTTTTTCATCCCTAAAAAGTCTTAATGAATAGGAAGTTTGAAGATAAATGGACTTAGATGAAACTTCCAAGTTTATTAGTTCTTTCTGATTCTTCAAGAAGTGCAATGGCAGCAGTTCCTCATATCTGCAGGGGCTCATAGATAATTTCCAAAAGAAAACAAAACTGCTAAGTCTTGACTCTAGTACCAAAATTGGAACAACCTGAAGCAGGACTGACTGTAGTAGTTTTGTGGCCAGATAGCAGGGCTGCCACATGCTCCAAGCCAAGCATAGGCCATGCAGATGTGGTTAGCAGAATTCCTCAAGGAACTACATAGCCCATGCAGAGATGCACTACCTGGCATTCACTACTACACTGATTTGGGCTGTGACTTCTGGCTGTCTCAGTGTCTGTCAATCTGTTGTGCAGGTAGACAAGCTGCACAATGTTACACAGCTCCCAGAATCAGACCCTTAGCTGCAGGAACACATAGCTTCACTCAGGCCAGAGGAGCATGGCTAGCTGGCAGCCACAGAGGGTCCCCTTCCCCTAAGCCACCATGCAAGTACCAAAAGCAGGCTGATTTTTTTTTCAATAAGACTTTTTAGAATTAAATCTACAGTTTCTCTGTCCAGGCACCAGCAGTGCAAAAATAAAGCACAGCAAGACTGCCTCAAAACAGCAAGTGCTTTATCTAAAGGTGTGCAAAGTGCTTAGAAAAAAATAGCAATTTACTGCTTGAAAGTAAGTGCAAAAAACCCACTGGTTTTGCCTTATCTTCTGTTTCAGCAACTAGAATTATTTATAGGCTGAGAACTTATATCTGCCTTTGATCATATGTTTGCACAAATGTCAGCATGAAGAGGCTCTCTCCCCCACTGACATATAATAGGATAAAAATTTGTAAATTTAAGATGAAAAAGAAATGGATGTGCAAAGTTTTGTACAGTTCCTATATTTTTGGTCTCAGTTACCTGCTTCTAAATATGAGAAATATTCAGAATTCAGACCAAAAATTTGCTCAACACTGTTCATTTTGTCATTAAAAAAAAAAATATTATACAGCTTGTGAAGGTGTTATACATATATATGCAAGTACTTGTGCTTTCTTAACCAGAAGAAAAGATCCTTCCTGATGGGAAGACATCACCAACTCCTTCAGGTAAATTTAGGACTCAGGATTTCAGCAGGAGAAAAGTTACTGTACCAGGTTTTGACCCTTTTTCACATCTGTGTGCCAAGATAAGTATGTGTGCCTGTGTTTCTGACTGCTTGCATGAATTCTTAATCATTTCAAGTTTCACATGAAAACCTTTTTAAACACAAGCTCTGCTATTTAAATCCATTTTTTTATTTTAACCGCAATATCAAAGACTGGAAGTATTTAACATCAGTCCTGGTCACCTGCCGTGTCCTGAAGGCTTGTTATGCTGAAGAACGTTTTTTATTTCTTTGACTTAGAAGTAAAATCCAACACAACAAACATAGTATTGAGTTCTGTACAAAGCAGGATTATGAATTCTGTGTGTCGTGCGCTTTATTGGGCCTTTTTCTCTTTGTAAAAATAAAGCTGTTACGAGCCAGGAAGTTCTGAAGGTAGAGCCAAGCTTGAACCAAACAAGAGACTTGGCTTGGATTTCTGCAACTGAGCCTTGGCTTGGGCATCTGCCAAGCCAATAGACCTGACTATATTCATTTACAGACAGAAAAATTCAGAGAAGGATAGGCACCAGAAGAGTTTGTGGTAGGAAATAAGGCCACTGTGTTCTTCTTTTCTTGTTTGAAAATAGAACTAAACCAGATCTTGGGTCAAGCTGTAACTGTCTTGTTGTTCATCCTTTGTATAAGAGCAGAACATAAAGACCACTTTCTCTCTAATTACAGAGCTGTAGAGGAATAATGAATTTCCCACATAGTTTTCTGATCACTTCAGTGTCCAGACTTTGTCCTGTATTAAAATTTCTCCCCGTTCATAAAAAGTGTCCAATTGCCCCATAGTTTTTCTTTATGTTTTAAAATCAAAATTCAATACTTGTAGCATTGTAAGGCTTTTTCTTTTAACCTTCTGTAACATATTGATACAAAAACTGTCTTCTGGGCTCTCCAGTAGTAAAATACCAGTTACAGGCTTGGACTTTCAACCTCCACTTTCAAAAAGGAAGAATGAGCTCTGGGTTATTGCTCTTTGATATGTATTTTTCTAGAGATAGATTTAATGCATATCCTTTTTTCTCTTAAGCTTTAATCCATTGAACTTGTAACAGGAAGACTATTGTCTTCCACTTAGATCACAGAACTTCTGGTTGGAGTTTGACCCTTTACTTTTGGGGTGCATCAGTCTCAAATACAAAGTGAATTAATTGGAAATTTTCTCACATGGTGCAAAGAAAATTATATGGTAATCTGTGGCTAAGACCACAGCTTGTATGTATATATAGATCACAACAAGAAAGGTTTGGAGTGTTGTGATCCAAGATTATTCAATATTCAAACAAAATAGCCATAATCACATTCCAAGAGTGAATGAGAGGCCAGAATGGTTAACCTGGGTTGAAGCCAAGGGCTTACAAATGACAAATTCATAGCCAAGAATCTGCCACGTTCCTTTGAGAGGATATTTGAAATCTTAGTTTTTAACACAGATTTTATTTTAGATTCTGATAATCTTATTGTTATATATAGTATAATAAATATATTATATAAAATACAAAATAATAAAATTATTTTAGATTTTAATAATAAAAATGATCCATTAATGTCACAAAGTGACATGCAGCCTCCATGTATTTCATAGCAAATTCATTACAAACCTGTAATAGTTTACCCTTTTAAAAAAATGCAGTAAACTCTTAGTGAATGAAGGAGTAAAAATTGTAACTGAGAAATATAGGTGATTATTTAAATCTAAGAAGAGATATGTTTTCTCAACAGCAATAAGACTTTCCTGGCTGAGAGCACAAGAAATCTGTGAATAAGGTTGTCATTAATGAATGTCTAATAGGAAGAAGTAGTTTAAGGGCAAACAGAGAATACAAATATCCTATAAATATATTCTCTAGTTATGTGGTAGAGTGTGCATCAAAAGTTTTCCTACCAAGTCTATAATCAACATTTAGGATTGTCTATGATTTAGGATTAAAAAAATGTTATAGTTCCCAAGCAGAGACTGTAACAACTGTTCATTTCATCTGTCATTTTACCAGATGTCATCCAGGACCAGATCTCCTTACGGCAGTAAGGTAGAGGACTCTGCGATCTTGATAATCTGAGGCAGTCATATTGCCAACATTTGCTCCTTTTTTTGTCTCAGTTCTTATGATATTTAATGTTTTTCATAAAGCTTAGCTCCTGCATTCCTGTAATTATGCAAGAAATTCAAATTACTTCTAAGAAAACCCTAGCGAATCCCTAGCCTTTGTGGTTGCTTGCACAAGAAGACTTGAAATACCATTCTTCAAGGGTCAAATACTGGAAAGGAAAAAAAAATAACTCATGTTTATTTTGCCTGAAGACTCATGATTTTAAAGCTCTTCTTGCTGTCTTGAGTACCTGTCTAATGTTCTTCAGTGCTAAGTGGCAGCAAGAAAGTGTATGTGGGTAAGAAAAGCCTAAAATTCTTGTCAATAAGGTACTTTATGTAGTATGAGTGGTCTTTGGTTTTTATATCAGGTAGACTGAGTTCAGAGTTAGATTTATATGTCTCACAAATCTCCTGAAGAATCAAAAAGGGTTTTTTTTAAGGTCTTCTCAGTTGCAGTTTCCTAATTATGTGAACTATGAAATCTTAGGTGAAGAAGAAGAAAGAAATGCACATATGTATCAAATGCTTCTGATTCTTGTTGCCGAAGCAACTGATTTATGCCAGTGAGGCAAAACAAAAAAAAAAAGCTAGTGGCAAGAGCTTAAATAAAGAAACAATTAAATCACGTAGTTCTTTTTTCTTTCTCCTCAAACAAAGAGGAAAATGTGTCTGAAAGAGAGTGGCTGTGCACAAATGCTTCTCCACATATGTGCACAAGTAGAATGAGATCCAGCAAGAGCATTGTGACCCTCTTTTTCTTAACCACAAGGCTGTGGTTAAGACATGTACAGTGCATTATTTATTTCCCATTTACATATGGTCTTGGTGTTCTTTCAATACTTTCATGGAAAGAAAAAAAGAAAGGTATAATTATCTGTTGAATTATGTGTAGCTGTAGCTATTTCAATCACTCTTTTTTGTCTAAACAGAAATTCTCTCCATCTGGCAGCTGTGGAACACAGCCAGCTGCATGATGCTGCAACTGGCTGTCCTGAATAGACTTGCTGATCTTATCCTCTTTCTTTTCTGCAGGACTGCCCACCAGAAGCAGGTGATTTTCGTGCCCAGCAGTGCTCTGCTCACAACGACGTCAAGTACCAGGGGCAGCTGTATGAGTGGCTTCCCGTGACTAACGACCCTGACAACCCATGCTCACTGAAGTGCCAGGCCAGAGGAACAGCTCTGGTTGTGGAGCTGGCACCAAAAGTTCTGGATGGGACACGGTGCTACACTGAATCCCTGGACATGTGCATCAGTGGCTTGTGCCAAGTAAGGAGAGAAGCCCTGCTTCAACCCCTCTCCTCTTGACTTCTCAGATCTCTCTCACATGCTCACTCCCTCTCCTCCTCCATACCTGTGTCATTTTAGGGTCTTTATTTTAATAATCAGTTTCCATTCACTTAATTTATTTTTTTCGGGGGGGCAAGGGGGGTTGTGGGTTGGAAGGGGGAGATATGTATAATCTCAAAGATTATTTTCTCACTTTATGCTGCTTTCTTGGTGTTCTTTTGAAGGATTTTATTATCTCTGTTTGAACTGTTCTCTATACTTAGCTGCTTATCTGATTTGAAGCACCACTAAAAATAATGTTGTAATTTTAATTTAGATATATCAAAGTTTTCTAGGTCTATCAAATTACATTATCTATGAGGATTATTGCTCCCTGTAAATACCCACATGACAGTAGATGAGGCACTAAAGTGAAAAGGCTGCCATTTCTTCTGTAGGACTAAGCAAGTTGTTTTATCTCCTTGGATCTTAGCATCCTTATTTGTTACCAGTGAGAAATGGGACTTTTTGACCCTTCACTTCACTTGGTCATTCAGCCAATATATTTGCATCCTAATTTGGTTTTTTATTTCCTTTGTGCTTTTATTTATACATTGCTGCCCTATCATTTTTCCTGCTAAATTATCTAAATCAGACTTTATTCTTCTTAACTACATCTCTAAGGCTGCTGGTTGATGATGGGAGGACTTTTTCACCATCTCTGTTAAGTTCTGAGGACAGCTAAATCTTGAAAATGGTTGAGTGTAGATTCATGTTTCATTGCACAGTGACCTCGAAATCTATGTAGACTCGATGTGTTGGCTTTCTAGTGTATTTTCAACTGCCTCTTTTTTTTTTTTTCTTTTTGGAAGCTTTCCACCCCATTTCTTTTCACTTTGATTTTCTGTTCTGAGCCAGAAGCAGTCCTGAAGTAAATGAAATAGAGTAGATAGTTCCTGGGCTAACCTCATTTGTGATCTGAAGACAGCAATCATCTAGACCTCTTGACCTAAACCAAGGGCATGCATCACAAATTTCTGGATTGCCTAATGAGAGACTATTTCTAGTTTCCTTTTTCAAATCTTTAAAAACTTGACTGGAAGCACAAAAATCTGGATGGGAAAGAGAGTCAAAAATTTTTTGCATATAGGATTTAGGAGCAGGCTCATTTCTGGCTTAGTCCAAGTAAGAAGCTTACTTTTTCCCAAGAGGACTTTCCCTAAGAAACAGAGTTCCTAAACATCTAGTACTAAAACAAACTCATTTGCACTCTCATGACAATTCTTACTTGGACATCTGAAGATAGCTGCAGTGCTAATATAAAGACTGATGTTACTTCTCTGTGGCTTAAGAATAGACAAATATACTAGCACTAGTGTCCTTGAGTAATTTTAGTTAAATTAACCCTTTTCTTATATACCCTAAATTGGAAGAATAATTTTTAATGCATAAATTACTTTATATTTTCCATGTTCTTCAGCATTCAGTTTCTTCAATGAATTTGCCATATATTTACAATTACTGCATTTTTGAGGATGACCAAAAAAGATTAAAATATAAATGCTCATGTATTTTTCTCACAGTGAAAAATGGGTGTGTTAAATTTAAAAAAACTCGAAGTGTTATTGCCTTAGTGTATCCCTGTTGGCTAGTCATATCTTTGTGAGAGTAGAGCTACAGCATTAAAAAATACATAATTAGATTTTCCCTAACTATATGCTATAGGACAGCAGTTGCTTTACTATCTACCACAGCAATAGCTAGTTCTACATAAGTAGTTGAGAATGGTAAAGAGTATGGAATTTGCCATAGTAAATGGTGAGCTTTCTTTAAAAGCAATGATTTTCCATTGCTTCTATAAAAGTTATTTTAAAAGATTGGGAAACCAGAGTGTTATAGAAGAACAAGTGAAGCATTCTTTCTCTGAAACATTTGTGTGAATAAACCTATATCTGTAAGTATAGGGAATGCATGTAAACTTCAGAGAAGACAAAAGATGGTTTCAGAAATTATTTCTACTAATTTGCATCAGGAGCTGCAGGCTACTGCTTACGTAAAGTCCTTGACATACTGAAAACATAAGAATCATGGGTCTCAGTAGCATGTGAGAACTCATAATGATCCTGGAAGAAAGGAACATTTTCATGAGATGTCTCTGGAATGAAATCTTGCATGATTTGGAGCAGTGCCACAGACAACTGTAATAATACACATATGGTTTATCACAACTGCGAAAAATAAAGTCTCCTAAGATGTATAATCCATATAAGGTCCTGAAGATTAAAAAGTGAAGTATGTTTCTTATGCAGTTTAACAACAGCAAGAGCCAGATTCCGTAGCTGGTACGGGGCAACCCTGATTTTGTATGCAGATTGGAGAATGAGATGCTGCAGAGAAGCCCCGCTGAAATGGACCTGGGGGTCCTGGTCAGTGGAAAGCTGAACATGAGCCAGCAGTGCCCTGGTAGCCAGGAGGGACAACCCTGTCCTGGGGGGCATCAGGCACAGCATCACCAGCGGAGCAAGGGAGGGGATTGTCCTGCTCTGCTCTGAGCTGGGGCAGCCCCACCTCCAGTGCTGGGGGCTGGTTTGGGTGCCACAGTATGAGAAAGAGATGAAGCTGTTAGAGAGTATCCAAAGGAAGGCAGAGAGGATGGTGAAGGGCCTTGAGGAGAAGGCTCAGGTTACTTTTTCTGTTCTCTTTTATCTCTCTTCTTATGTTCTGTTTTCTCTTCTGAGAAGAGGAGACTGAGGGGAAACCTCTTTGTGGTCTTCTTCATCTTCAAGGAGGAAAACGGAGGGGCAAGTACCCATCTCTTCACTCACATGATCAGTTAGGAAATGGCATGAAGTGGAGTAGGAGAAAGTTTAAGTTGGATATCAGGAAAGAGGTTCTTCACCTGGAGGCAGTGAAACAGTCCCCCCAGGAAAGCGGTCACAGCATCAGTCTGTTTGACTTTAAGAAGCATTACGACGCTCTCAGGCACGTGTTCTGATATTTGGAGTGTCCTGCTCAGGGACAGCTGTTGGACTAGATGATCCTGATGGGTCCTTTCCAACTCAGCATATTCTATGATTCTATAATAACAGGTCTTTTGCAACAATTGGGCTCCATTGAAGGCAGAGATATGTTTTCTTGATTGCTCAGAGCAAAACTACTGAAAGCAACTTGAAGTTTACCCTCCTATTGGCTTGCATTGATCCAGTGTTATGGCAACCAAGAAGGAATTGAATTTTCTTGAGATACAATATTATATACATAAAACATATCTTTATTTAATTATGTGCATAAATAATAAGTATAGAATAATAATAAGAATAAGAATAAGTAAAAATGATTTTAAGATCAGTGTATGCTTGCATAGACATAGAGCATTTTTACCAGTAGGTTAAACAGTGTTCATTTTCTTAACTAACCATAGGAATACATTTCTTTGTATGCAAGACTTGGATCAATCTGTAGCCTATTGTGTGCTCACAAGCCCTTCTTCAGATTACAGATTTCAGAAATTAGACATTAGTTGTATTGTTTCTGTGTGCCTCAGTACTCTTCATTTAAAGGTGATGGATTTCACTCTCATTGAAAAGAATGCATTTGAAAAAAAGTGTAGTATTTGGAAATTATAACAGCCCTCTCTCATATTTATCTTTTATTTTTCATGGTGTTTGGAGATTTAAAACTACCAGTACCTTAGTGGTATATTTATGACTCTTTGTTTAATTATGAGATTTTGGGCTTACGTCTTTTTTTGCCTGTTGGCCACTTAGTAGTTAAAGTCAGAAGAGAATAGAAAAGAACAGGCTGTATCCCTGAATCTTTGATTCAAGAAGGAGTATGGTTAGAGAGTCTTAAAAATATTTTTAATTTTATTTATGGAGATAGAATTTTGGAGAAATTATTCAGTAGCTGATTCAGGTGTCCTTCAAGGCATAGGCCAGTACCCCTGACTGTGATAGTTCAGAAATCATGCAAGCTGCAGACATCTTGCCTCTCTCCATATTATAAAAACATAAAAGTATTTTTCCCATGAAGAGATGTATAACATGCCTTTGTTCTTTGTGTGAAACACCTAAGAAATTAATAGGAAATACTAGGAATTAATAGGAATTGATTTCTGAACATCATTTTTTTTCTCTCTGTAGTTTTACTCTTAAATGCATAGTGACACAGACCAAACAACAGCATTTTTCAAACAAAAAAAGCTCAGTATGCTATATGTTCTAGCTCTTCCTTATTGTCTTGTTCCTCGTGAACATTTTAAATCCCTTTCTCTATGGATATCTGTGTAATTGGGATGTCCCTTTCTTTCTCCCTTTTTAAAAGAAATACGGATTACTTCTCAGATCTTTGGGTCTCATTTTGAGTTTACCTCAGCTTATAATATGTCCCATTGGTATATTGTAACTAGCTTGAACCTCAATGCTGAAGTCAATAGAATGGTCTTTAAGGAAATAGTGATTTGAAGTTCCACATTTTGAAATGTCTTTATAGATAGAATTAATGGATATGCTGAGAACAGGACATTTAAAACTTCCAGTTTCTAGTTTAATTTTCCCTGTTTGCAAAATAAATTCCTGTACTTCAAATCCTTTCTTAGGGTTTTGAGAGTATAAGAAATTTCTATATACAATAGTTGAAGCTGTAAAGTTGGAGAGTGGTGGGTTGTTCCTGGCTGGATGCCAGGTACCCACTGAAGCTGCTCTCTGCAACCAGATGGGGAGAGAAATTATAACTGAAGACTCATGGGTTGAGATAAGGGATGGGAGAGGTCACTTACTGATTGCCATCATGGGCAAAACAGACAAGGGGAAATGAGTTGAATTTATTGCCAATAAAAATCAGAGCAAGATAAAGAGAAGTAAAACAAATCTCAAAAACATCTTCTCCCCCCCACCCCTCCCTCCTTTCCTCTTCCTCCTTCCTGTGAGCAGCAAAGGATGATGTGGAGCAAGGTTAAAATCAGTTCATCACACATTGTTCCTGCCACAGCTCAGGAAGAG